CGATTCTTGTTTATCTTAATGTGTTTTTTTTCTCGTTCTACAAGAGAAAAATAACTTTTATTTTGTTCTCGATCATCTTTTTTGTTTAGCTCTTGCATTCTCTCTCTCGCTCGCCCGCTCAATGTCTTTCTTTCTTGTTCATTCCAAACACCATTCACTATACATTAAAAATGTATATTCGTGCATACACGAACATACATCTTATATACTTTAATACGTGCTATAGAGTTAGCGGTACACTAAGTTCACTTTCTCCCAATCCGTTTCTTTTTTTTCTTTCTTTCTGTTTTGTTTGTTTTTAATGTGTTTTCTCTTGAGTTATTTTGTTTGGTAGTGAGTGAGTGAGTGAATGAGTGAGTTTTCTTATCCCATTCTCTATTGAATTTAATTATAAAGCAATGAAGCGTATGGGAGTGTTTTTGACAGAATTGAAAAGAGAAAACAAAAACTGAGCAGAAACAATCAAAACATTAATAATAATGACTCGAAATCGATTCCCCCCCCCATTTTACTTGAATTAATTATTCATTTACTTATGTGCGTCTATTTATATTGGAATGTATTCATAGAATATATAATAATAATAATAATAATAATAATAAATAGACGTGAATGAGCTCGGGGGGGGGGTATATGAAGTGAATTACAGTTATAATAAGTGCTTAGAAGTAAACTAAGAGAATATGAGATACAATTTGGAGTTCAGTAAGAGTGAAGTTGAAAGTTAACTCAAAGAATGATTTCATTTATTTTGAAAGTTCCATTATTGTTATTATTATTATTTAATTTGGAAAATACTTGACAATAGCTGACTTATACTACTTATACTACTATTACTACTTTGAATACTACTCATGATGTATAAAAAGAAGTAGTACTTGATTAATTAATGATTTGAGCTATTTGTATATATACAATGTTTAATGTATACAGTTAGGTAGGGCAAACATGAAGAACACAAACAAAACACCTATTTTGTTTGCCTTAGGCAATAATTCATAATGATAAATATTTTATCTACTTTCTTACAATTCACGTTTGTCATCTTTCAAACAATAAAATACTTGAAGAAAGAAGTGAAGAGAAAAAAATCTGTGATGAATTTGTCGCAAAAAATTACTTCATGGGATAGTTTTGGTCAATCTAAAGTATACTACTGAATGATCTTGAGCGCTTAGACTATTTTAGCCAATTAGAAGTTAAGAAAGATAAACGAAGGGGTTGTGGAAATTATTAAGTTTTTGATTGAGATCATGAACCAATTGATGTTAGGCCACCATTAAAAACGTGAAGGCATTGGACGGCCGTTTCGTCCTGCTGTGGGACTCCTCGGCAGTGCGCATCCACAATCCCGCTCGCGGGATTCGAACCCAGAGCCCTCAGTCTCGCGCACGAATGTTTAACCTACTGGACTACTGAGCCGGCACACAATGGTATTAACGTCTATAATGATAATCATTATGACTTCATTTCGAAGAAATTAAATGAAAGGAAACACTTTGTGAAAGATCCTGCGAGCGGGATCGTAGATGCGCACTGCCAAGGAGTCCCACAGCAGGACGAAACGGCCGTCCAGTGCTTCCAGGTGTTTCAATTGTGGTAGTCTAACATCAATCGGTTCATGATCTCAATCAAAAACGAAGGATTTGTTATTGCTAGGACTTTGGATTAGTATAAAGACTTTAGAATTATTGCATAATAGTTTATGTTAGTGTATGATAAGAATCCTGACATTTATTTCTAATTGTAATTTTTGACTCTATTTTGATATTTACACTATGACTGTGAAGTCGACTACTTTATCTTGATTGGTTCGGAAATATAATTTAGGTTAACCGTTTTTTGAATAAATGATTGTAGATTCTTTCATCAGTAGTAGTAATAGTTATAGTAACAGAAGGAGTAAGTGAATGGATAAACCTATTGGTAAGGTTAAAAACTAGGATTAACAGTGGTTCTTAAGATATATAGCTTGAATAAGAAGTAGGGTTTGAAAAAGTTAGGTGTTGTTAAAATATAACCACAGTTTATGAAGTCTTTATGTTTTTGATGGAGTTTTGTTCTCTGAGCTGAATGGTTTGGTCGTGGGTCTTTCATCGTTCCTCTGAACAACATCATCAGCAGCACAAACTTCAGATAGAAGTGAAGAGTTCAAATTTCTCCACATATGGTTCACAGCTTGTGCTGTACACCTAGATGTTGATTGATTCTTGTTGACCTTAAACCTGTCATTGTTTACTCATTTGTTTTGGTTGTGTCTCTCATTGGTTTGATTTTTGTTCCTATTTTTGTGCATAATTTTCAGAGAACAAACCTCCACCAAAATCATCCACCTTTTTTATTTTCAAAATAAATAAATAGCATACAATGATTGATCCCATCCTAGTTAGTTTCTGTTTTAACAGACCGAACTATGGAAATTATGTAATGCTAATCACTTCGTATATAGTAAGATTAAGCTACTTTTTAACTAATGGATACTATATCTACGTATATACCAAGGGAATTGTTGTTTCTTTCCGACATTTATCTCCACGACCAAACCATCTAACTCAGAGAACAAAACTCCATCGAAATCGTCCACCTGAGATACACAGGATGTGAATTTCCTGGAGTTCTAGTGAAAAACCATGACCATTGATGTTCATTCCGTGTCGGGTGTGAGACAGTTATTGAATTCAGACAAGGGATGAAAGGTGGCGCGAGATAATGGATCGATCGAATTTGCACATCAACACGGATATTGGCTCAGTGGTTTATAGGTTAAGCATCTGTGCGCCAGACTGAACGTCCTAGGTTCGAGGTTCATGAGCGGGGTCGTAGATGCGCACCACTAAGGAATTCCATTCTAAGAAGAAACGTCCGCCAATACTTCTAGGTTTAGATAGATTCGTGACTTTAATTGTGAAAATACTACAATCTCCACAAATCCACATACTGTAAAGAATATTACATTGGTATATTTTCTTTAATTTGAGTTTATAGCTGCTCGACTCTTATCAGTTTGGAGTACAACTAGTGACTATTTTGTGTTCTGTTATTCGAAACAACTTCATTATCTTTTTAGACAAAACAGTAATTCAGTTGATAGTATAATCATTTATTATTCTCAGTTCTTCGTTAAAGCTGTAAATGGTTATTCATGATTGCTATTGAGGAAATATATATTATTTAGCTTTACAAACCGCAATATCGACTGACAAAAACATCATCTAAATATATTTTAGCATTTGAAGTAATAGAATAATAACTTTACTAATATTTCCTTATAATACTACTATTTCCATTATTAATTAGTAGTAGTGTTTGGAGATAGTTGACAGACAACAGTATACCTGAGTTTCACTCTGGTTCATATTTACTAGTAAGAGAGAATTGATGCTCTCTTCAGTGTCTATATCTAGGTCTAGGGTTTCCTGTTGACTAATGCTAACACCCTTGCATCCCAACATGATGAATGTGGTATTGAGTCACTTAAACGAATAGCCACATTGTAACTTGACCAATAATATTTTATTAACAAAACCTGGAGGAGGGTAGCAAACATACGTTTGGTAACTATACACCGATCGATGCAAATAAGTAGTAATTGTAGTCTGGTGAACGAGAATTCAGGTGGAGGAAACCAACTTATTCGTTGACTCAAAATTACAGGGTGCCTTCGTCAAATAGGAAAACCATACATTAAATACATTATGTGCACACCTTCCTTCAACTGTATTTTATTTATTTCAATTCTGTTGTTACTACAGTTGCTCTTTGTTTCCTTCAATTCGATCTCTCTGAATCTTCTATTGGCAGGCATTCTTCTTCCGATTAGTACATCACACTACTTATATCTGTCAACATAAGTAGTATACACCACGGTAGTAGTAGAAGTAGTAGTATTCAAATTTGACAATTAAATATCCTAAACTATTTCTCTTAATTTTAATACATAAAGCAAATATGTTAGTAGTGTATCCTTTACCAATATATTGGATTATAATTACTAACCGTTCGATTACTTTATTCAGTAGATGAAATTTATTTATAACTAATATACCAATAAAATGTTTCATCTACATTTCCTGTACACATTTTTTGTCAATGGTATGGTGTATACAAATTGCTGATCGTTGTTTTCGGTCGATATTATCATTGCTACTAGGTTACCATCCTTTATTATTATTGTCATTCTAGATTCCTTCCATTGTTTGTCATTCCTCCTTTAATCTTTACTTTTTTTCCTACTGTCTCCATTTCTCATTTCTTGTTTTGACAGCGATGTATGTTTACATGTGTATGTGTACATATATAAATGTACATACACTTAGTAGTAGTCCATATAGTTTCGTATCCACACACATATATATATATATAGGACAATGTACTACATACACGCGCAAACTATGTATATATGTAGCAAATACATACACAATACCACACACTACATACATATACCCTATGAACCATTATAAATACCAACAGTATATAAAGCGATTTTTGACAAAATCAGGAAATGAATATTGTTTTAAAACTCGCTTTTCCTAAAGTTCTTTTATTCTAATCATTTTGACAATTGTCATTTTGGAAATTATTATTACCATTATTATTATTAAGCATAAAACTAGAATATCTATATAGACTATATTCTTTCCTATCCAATCTATATGGAGATCTATGTATAAAACATACATATATATGTATGCATATATGGAGCATTTGATAATCAGAGTATGGACAGCAGCATACACGTATTCTCTCTCCGTTTCATTTTTTTACAATGTTTTTATACATACATCCATTTATGTATGTCCATTGACGTCTGTTCACATAGCCCGACAATATATATATGATTATCATTCGCTTTGATCTTTAATTTGATTAGTTTTTTTGTGATTTATGGTAATACTCAGAATAATGACAACGATACTATTAACGATAACAACAAAACAATATATGTAATGCTACATTCATACTTCCACCTGCTTTTTTTTGTCTATCTAAAAACAATTTAGAATTCTTCCCCTTTACTTGGAAGTGTTGGAAGTCGGCGGTCACCGGATGCAGATGATCGGACTAGTCCTAATGGCGGTGGAAATACATGTCACCGTAATGGAGCATCTGGGTGTGGAAACTCCAACAATCGTGGTAGTGGTGGTGGAGGTTGTGATGGAAATGGAGGAGGTGGTGGGGATGGCAGCGGCGGCGGCGGGGGTGGTGGTGGTGACCGTGGACAGTCATCTGACAATTCTGGTGGGGGTGGACGTACTGCTTCTGGTACAACAATTTCCAACATTCAACATATTGGTGATCATAGTTTGGTTCGCCAAACTCATAATCATCATCCACATTCACTCAATCACATGTCACAAAATTTATCTCAGTCCACTACACCAATGTCTCGTAGTCATGGTAATGCCAGTCAAGATATGAACAGTGAAGCGGGTATGTTGAAATGTTATTTATCTGATTGTATGTTTTGTACATTTCTTTTTTTAATAAAATAAAAGTAACATTTACTGCGTTCTTCCTCATGTATATAATAACGTCCGATAAATAGATAAATACTTAACTTGCAGAGATATTTTAGTTTTATTAGTTCATGGTAATTCCTCTAGGAATACCATTGATTAGTTGTTGTTTGTGAGGTAGTAGTGTAGTGAAGGAAAACACGGGTTGGGACAACTGAATTATACTAAGCACAATATTACAGAGTTACTTGGTAAAATAGAAAAAGCATACTATAACACTTAATTTGCAAAATGTTCAATAATTGTCTCGAACTTCATTGTTCATGCATTTCTATACTAATTGCTTTCTATTCCCGTTCTTCCTTTTTTAATCTTCCCAATCTTCTGCTGCCAGACATTACATTCCTGACTCGCGTTATATACTACTTATATCAATATAAGTAGCGCGCACCACAGTAGTACTGACAAGTTTATTTCAATAGTACAATTCCATTTCTTTTGTAATTTCAAGATTTTAAACACTTATACTAATACGTAGAAGGAGACTATCATTTCTTGAGGTATCTGAAAAAGAAACTGGATTCATAGTGATCTTGTCGATTTGAGGTCATGATTGCGGAGTTCATATGACAACTGTTTGATATTAGTTATATATTGACCTTTTTAATGAGTACTTTATAGTTCAATATATCTAGCAACAGAAACTGTTAAGACAAAAGATTTATTTTTAAGATCAATCTATTTTAACTCTCTCCTTATGATTTAAGATTTAAATCCGGTAACTATCATTTTAAATGTCAATATCTTAACTCCTACCAAACTACACAATCCAGACAACTACTAACATGTTCAATGCGTAATATGTGCATTACATTCCACTGTTAGTTTTTTTGTTTTTTTCATCATTCCATCTTTTCCTCTTTTTTTTTTATAAACATAAACAAACATATACCTTTATAGGTGATGGAATTGATAACTCAATTGGATCGGGGGAAAATTTTGATGAATTTGATTTAGAAGAAAAATCAATAAAACGTCAGAAAAAACGTGGTATTTTCCCAAAAGCTGCTACAAATATTATGCGAGCTTGGCTATTTCAACATCTATCAGTAAGTATGGATACATGTGTGTATGTATGCGTGTGTGTGTGTGTGTGAGTAGATGTGTAATCTAACTACAACATTACTAAACATAATAAGAACTTACTTACGCCGGTTACTCCTCGTGAAGGAGCATAGACCGCTCACCAGCACTCTTCATCCAAACCTGTAATAGGTAATCCTTTCCAGATCTTTCCAGTTGTTACTCATCATTTTCATATCTGATTCTAATGTGTTCTTTGGCCTTCCACATTTCCACTTCCCTTCAGGATTCCAAGTTGAGGCTTGTCTCGTGATGCAGTTTGATGATTTCCATAATGTATGTCTTATTCATTTTCATCATCTTTTCCTAATAAGAACTTAATCTAAACAAGAATGATAATTATCGGTATGATCAATTTAAGGTTTGACTTCATCAGTTTTGATGAATTGACCATTGAATTAATTCTAAATAAATAAATTTATAATATCCTGATCAATAGGAGGTTAGATGTTTTGATATTCTTTAATGTTGTGTAAGTCATTTCTTTAATAAATTCATATAATGATCCAATTAAAATGAACACAAACAGAATGATTGTAGGTCAGTTAGACTTATCATTAATTTCTCTTCAGTATAATGATACGAGTTTAGAAATGGAATGTCATACATAAGTTATGTCATTATGAAGTATAAATGACAGTTGATTTTAGATAAATTCAATAAATAAGAATAGAATGAAAAGTGTTTCAAATGAAAAAGAGAAGTGTGGAATACGATGTTATACAAGTGGTTAACCAAATCAAGGTTATTATCCAGGATAAAGAAAGATGCATAAATCTTTTGATCACAATGATCTTAACAGATTGTAGTGTTTTCATAGTTGAAGTCACGATTCTATCTAGCCTAGACCACAAAATTGAAAACCTGGAAGCACCGAACGGCTGTTTTGTCCTAATATGGGACTCCTTAACAGTGCACATCCACGACCACTCAAGTGGGACTGGAACCCTGGACCTTCGGCTTGACAGAGGAGACTATTGAGCCGGCCGACATCCAACGATGTTAATGTCTAACTTAAATCGATCCATGACAATTTCTTGAAAGGAAAGTCATCGAAAATTTTGTAGTAAAATACATAGTTGTTTTCCTTCTAGTTTGGTAACAGATTCAGATAAAGACAGCCAATGTAGCAGCAGTCTCTGCATCAGTAGGCCTCAGTATACACAAAGGGAAAACCAAGGTCCTCAAATTCAAAGCGGAGAACAGCAATCCAATCACCCTTGATGGCGAAACTCTGGAAGATGTAGAATCCTTCACATATCTGGGAAGCATCGTCGATAGACAAGGAGGTCCAGATGCAGACGTAAAGGCGAGGATTGGCAAAGCAAGGGCCGCATTCCTACAATTGAAGAACATATGGAACTCAAAACAACTTTCAACCAATATCAAAGTGAGAATCTTCAATACGAACGTCAAGGCAATTCTACTGTACGGAGCTGAAACTTGGAGAACTACAACAACCACAATCAAGAAGGTACAAGTATTTATAAATAGCTGTCTACGCAAGATACTCAACATCCATTGGCCGGATACCATCAGCAATAGCCTTCTGTGGGAGAGAACAAACCAACTTCCAGCTGAAGAGGAAATTAGGAAAAGACGATGGAAATGGATAGGACATACATTACGCAAATCGTCAAACTGCATCACGAGGCAAGCTCTAACTTGGAATCCTGAAGGGAAGCGGAAAAGAGGAAGGCCAAAGAACACATTACGTCGGATAATAGAAGCAGATATGAAAAGGATGAATAGGAACTGGAAGGAGCTGGAAAGGATTGCCCAGGACAGGGTTGGATGGAGAATGCTGGTGAGCGACCTATGCTCCTTCACGAGGAGTAACAGGTGTAAGTAAGTAAGTAAGTTGGTAACATCTCAGTAGTGTTCACCTAATATATCCACATTGATTTAATCGAATTCACATAGTTTAACTGTTAACAGTTACTCGGGTATATTTTCAACTTCAGTGCATTTATGAGATAAATAAATATCTTTAGTTTAAAATAAAATCTTCTATAAAAATACATAATTACTTAAAAAGTGTAAAATACTGGAGGTAAACCATACCACATGATTCCATCTAAATAATCATTGAAGGTCACTAATGAATCTTAGACTGTTCTTTCATTTGGGTTAAGAATACATTAACTACCACTATCCACCAATATTAGGTGGTTACCTTCCCTATGGTCCTTATTCTACTCCTTCACCAACTCCACCGTCGAACACTCCTAATCACATGTCTGGAAGACATTCTAATAAATTAATTCTAATCATCTTATCACACTGTCAGAGTAAAAAACACAAGTGATACCCATAATTTTCAGTCACAATTAGTTTCTAATGGAACACAATCTTTATGCAATGATATAAATTGGTCATTATGTTTTTGTCTTCATTTACTTGTCACCAATGCTTTCCGACAAAAACCATTCCCCATATAACCACTCAGTTTGATGAAATTAATAAAATAAACATTTTTTACTGAAAAAATAATCAGACTACTTATAATTATTTATGAGTAGATTATCATTAACTAGATTTACTTTGATACTTCATGAATAATATTAAAATCTGAAAATTATCTTTATCACCTATTAAATAATACTATTTGGAAATTGGGAAGTTATTGGACAACTATTTCATTTTAGTTCAGAGGCTTTTCCGTGGTGTACAAACTTCCAAGCTATACATATAATCTATCATTTTCAACTTCAAATCAAATCAATCATGTTGGAATTGTGATATATAGAGTTGTCATTGATAATGATATTGAATAATTGTCATTTTATTTCATCAGGCACAAATTATTGGATTTAAATGATGTTGTACTTACCTCAGTATAGAGATTACGTAAGATCTGAGGCACCTTACAATAAAATAAAGTGACCATATTCAGTACTCATTTGGTTCTATTGATCTTCCATTAGGGAGATTTATAAATTGAGAAGCCGTACTTTCCTTTATGTTTTAGAAAATAACTTTATTGGTGATCATCATTATTAAACGTAAATTGTTTTCTAAAAATGTTTTCTTCTAAAACTAGCATCCTTATCCATCGGAAGAACAAAAAAAGCAATTAGCTACAGATACTGGTTTAACAATTCTACAAGTAAATAACTGGTAAGCAATCGTATATGCATATGTGTTTTGTGTTTATATGAATGTGTGTAGAAGCGGCTGAATCCATTTTTTGTTAGTTTCCAACAAAGAAAGCGATATATCTAAGTTTATTGATCTCTGAGTTGTTGTGAAAATTTCAATTTGTGCTTGACACACCGAACGTGTTTATCTTATCGAACAAATAATTTAAATCAAATTGTGTTGAACTGTGACAGTGTTACTGTTTAACTTATGTAGTCTTACTCTGAAGCTACACCATTAAATAACTATCTAGTCTGGCTCACTCCATCCTAGTAGTCAGGCTGTTTTGCTTTAATAACTTACTTCGGAAACAGTTGAAGTTTTACCAAAAGTTTTTTATTTAAATGTAAATAGAATAAGGTGGAAACATGGACAAAAATTAATAAAGATTCTGCAAGTACTTCTTCCATTTCATCTATTGATTAATTAGTATTAATCATCCTTGAGTTTGATGAGTTACTATGAACAATTCAACGTCTAGTGACCATATTTTCCATGTCGAAAAACGTCTAGCTGAACAGACTGATTCAACTAAAGTTCATTGTTATTTTCCTTGACCTTACACATGTCTTTTTGATTGATAATACTGCTGAAAAAACTCTATCTGATTACTAGTTTAAATGACTTGACATGTCAGAGCATTATTTATTAACGTCAGGATGATTAAATAGTGTTAATCTATGAGAATTCCTTCGTTAAGTTTTCATATTAGTTGACATTTATCAGCAAAGTGATTCATACTTAATCTTTAATATGATTTAAGTTCGAATTTCATAGGAAGTATGTTAATCATATGCTCATTAATGACTAACTTCAAGAGGCATTTCCTGGAGTTCTAGTGAGAAGTCCTAACTAATGGAGTTCAGCCGGGTCAATTGTGAGATAGTAACTCACTGATGACAATGTTGGATAGTGACTCAAATTCGTGGATTAGTTGCATTTAGATATTAACACTGTAGGATGTCAACCAGCTCAGTGGTCTAGTGGTTAAGCCCTCACGCGTGAGACCGATAGGTCCTAGGTTCGAATCTCGCGTGGCTGGATTGTGGAGGTCCTGGGTTCGAACCTTGCAGGGGATGAGGTCGTGAATGCGCACTGCTGAGGAATCCCACAATGGGACAAAACAGCCATCCAGTGCTTCCAGGTTTTCCATGGTAATCTAACTTCAGTTAACTCGTGATCTCAGCTATTAAAATGATTATTAGTTTTTAAAAAATATAACAGATTGTTTATTTAAAAGAGAATACAATAACAATATTGTATCTATCATTAGTATTAATCATTATGCTAATATTTCTCATTTCATATTTATTTACATTTGTCTAAGATTTTTTCAGTATCTAGTACAGATATTATTTTGTTTGTATATGTAAATAACCTAAATTCTAAAAAGGAATGATATTCAGCCTTTAGGCAATAGAATGACATATATATATATATATATATATATATATATATATATATATATATATATATATATATATATATATATATATATATATAAGTAGTATTTCTAGGACTAACAATATAATAAATATGAATAACTGTTATTGCATAATAATAATAATAATAATAATAATAATAATAATAATAATAATAATAATAAAAGAGATTAAAACCCTTTCGTTTCTCAATTGATTTAATGTTTATTTACTCTGTTTAAATTTTCTTTCATCTATCCCCCCACCCACCCCTTTTGTTCACATCTTGAGGACATAGCAACAATAAAAAGGTGGACAATATGGTCTCTTTTAAAATTTAAAATACTTCCTGACTTTGAAGATTAATTTTTGTTATTTAAAATAATTAAAGAAATGGAAAATGAGGCAATTTTTCAAAAAAAAAGAACAAAGAATTAAGATAACAATAATGAAATGTTTGAAGAGAGACTGTGGAGAAAGAAGAGGGCGGAGAGTGAATAAAAGCCATATGAATTTATTTGTAATGAAAAAGATAAAGAGGCTGATAATCAGTTATTCTAGAAAAAAAGGTACAAATAGGGAAATAACTAATTCTAATCGATAGTTCATTTATATCACAGACTGACCTTAATTAGACAACCATTGGAAACCAAGATGTACTGGATAGCTGTTTAGTCCCAGTGCACACTTAAAAACCCACTGGGAATTGAACCCAAGATATTTCAGTTTCTATTGACTAATTTTGAAAGGCGATTCTCAAATCTCTAGCGTGAAGCGGTGACGAAGGGGACACAACTATGACAAGTATGAAGCCAATTTCCACCAATCCCATTAGAAGATTGTTATATATTTTCGATAATTATTCGAAGTCATAAATATAAGCCATCTGATACCAACTCCGTTGGTTCACGGTTAAGGAATCTGTGAAAGCCTTGAAAGATTTTATGTTTGATCTCTGGTTGATAAAAGATGTAATTTTAATGTCGATTTCCAGGTATAGGTGCTGCGCGACTTCTTACTCGAACTCTTCAATACTTCACGATATAGAAGTAGGTTGGGAAAAGCTACAAAATAGTAGGTTAATTGAACATCGACCATTCAGTTTATTCTGATATGTATCTAATCACAGCATTGCATAGTCAAGACTATTAAATACTTATTTATACATGATTTATTTTGTCGGTTGTACCATGCTAACTATGAGTTGACAAAGTTATTGAAAATTTTTTATTTGGTTTCTACGTGTTTTTTTCTCTAAATAGGTTTATCAATGCTCGACGACGTATTGTTCAACCAATGATTGATCAATCAAATCGAGCCGGTAAGTACTGTACACTACTTGATTAGAATGTCTTATCAGTATAGGGTTGTGGAGATTTTCGAGTTTAGATTGACATCATGAATGGATTGATTTTAAACCACCATTAAAAACCAGGAAGCACTGGAAGGCTGTTTCGTCCCAATATAGGACTCCTCAGCGATGTGCATCGACGGTCCCATACTGCTAAGGAGTCCCATATTTGGACGAAACGGCCATCCAATGCTTCCAGATGTTCAATGGTGGTCTAACTTAGATTGAATGGTGGATTCAGCTGCTAATTAAGTTTAATAAATATGCCAATGTGATGATTGTATATTGTCCTCTTACTATAAAGGAAATGATATTTGAGATAATTAGTTCTTTACTCTCCAAACTATTCATACTCTAATCGGTTTCATTGATTCTCAATTTATACTAAGTCCCTGTTGATTGGCTGAAAAAGTGGCTATAAATTCATAACGTTACTCTGATATCACTTTTGATTAAATTCTATATTATGGTTATATTTAATCACTCACAGAAACCGGATTGTTAGTTGAATAGTTCAAACAATTGCACATAAGTCAAATGTCAAATAACTTACCGAGGAAAAAACGTTTATTTTCACCTATAATAAATATGTTTACGTGCATGAACATATGACATACTGAACGTGAATATCGTGATAGTCTTCAGTTATTCAATTAATCCTTAAGTTTATTGAGCATTCAGTGAATTTGGGGATAGTTTTATAAAGACAGATTTAATTTATAGGCCACATTTATCATAGAGTAACATCAGTAAGGGGAGTACTATTGAAAATTAGGGAAACTTGGACAATGGTTTCGACCTAATATGAATGTTCTTAGTATTATATGTCATTGATACTAATAGAGATCAAATTCACACCCTATAAGTTACATGACCAGCAGGTTGAAAATCAGAGAAAATATAAAAGAAGTTTTGAAATAGAAAATTCTTCTAGTTAGTTTCTTATGTCTTGGTTACTTACTTACGCCTGTTACTCCTCATCGAGGAGCATAGGCCACCAACTAGCATTCTCTATTCAACTATGTTCCGTTTCCCTTCAGGAATCCAAGTTAGCACTCGCCTCATTATGTAGTTTGATGATTTCTTTAATGTATGTCCTATTCACCTCTGTCGTCTTTTCCTAATTTCCTCTTCATCAGGAAGCTCGTTTGTTCTCTCCCATAGCAGATTATTACTGATGGTATTCGACTAACGGACATTGAGTATATTGTGTACATAATTGTTTATAAATGCTTGTTTATGTACACACACACGTGCGTGCACAGAGGGAAAGAGACGAATAGAACCGTAGTCTTAAAATGAGCCACTAATTATTAAAATGCTATAAAATAGTTGCTAATGTTCAATTTAAGATATGGTTCACTGATTTCCTTCTTACATTTAGCTCTTTGTGTTATTGTAGACTGGAATAACATTAGCTTGATTGAGATTATTAAAAAAAATTATTTCTTATCTATTTTTAATTATGTAATTTGATCATCAGTTAAATTTTTTTTTAATTTTTCGTTGCCTGGTCATTTGTTTGTATCCAATATGTGTCTAGCCACAATGTATTTTGTACATGCAAGGATTGTGCATGTTGCTATGTATTTATTGATACTGTGACACATTAGAGTGGATCTAAAGAAACGATGTTCCCCCTTTCACATAATATATATATATATATATATATATATATATATATATATATATATATATTCCAATAAGACTACCTATTCATTATTACATATTGTGCAATTATTATTATTATTATTGCTAATGTCCTCTAATTATACATACATTTATTAAATTTCATTAATTACAAATTAATAGGACCACATGGCTATCCACCCGATGCTGCAGGATGCTTACCTTATATGGATAATCAACATTTTGCTGCTTATGGTCGTCCAGGTGGGTAGTAACATATTAATGGATTAAATTTAATATATATTTATTAGGATAGGAATGTTATGGAGATAATTTAATTTAAATTTATTTTTCATCCATGCTGTGGTAACATTTCATAAGCCAATGGAAATATTTACAACACTGGTAAACACCTATATATTTAACTGTTATTCGGATGATGATGATGATGATCGCGTTATGTGATTCTTTGTACTGGAAAAATGTGAATCACTGAAAACTCACTTACACATTAGCGGGTCTGAATGTTCTAGGTCCGACTCTGTGTAAGACGATAAAGAATCCACATATTTGTACAGACTATATAACTAAAATCAAACATGTGTTCATTGCTAACCACCTTTTGGGTTTTAGTAACTATGTAAATTTATTGTGTAGTTTGTTGGTACTATTTGAAAAAGAGGATCTACCAGTCCTTCTACTGAATAGAGATTATTAATAAGAATTAAATTAAATCACTCATTATGTACTTGATTATGAAGCATACACTAAGTGATAGGACTAATAATACTGCCCGGTTGTCCAAACAGAAATAAATGGAGTGTAGTGGAATTAATGACTGAAAGTTAAACACCTTAACCAATAGGCCACCGCTCAGGGATTACTTAAATATCATCTGTGTTCTACGCTAAAACCTACGAATGACGTGGTATATCAATCACTTGATTATCGAATAATTATTCTAATGTTCTTTGATGCACTCATTAAATCACCAATATTCTCGATTGTATTTCCAACTTGATCATACACCAATTCATTCGATTAATGAATATGATATTTTGGAGAAAAACTATTAAGTAAACTTATACAAGTTACTAGCTATTCAATGTTGAATTGATGCTATCGATATAAGCGATTTATTAAAATTATTCATCTCATATCTTCCATCAGAGCCAAGCTAGAAAATCGTTATAAATCAAGTAATATATAAGAAGGGGTTTTGTGGAGATTGTAGTCATTTCAACAGTTGAGTCAATTGAAGCTAGACCACCATGGAAAACCTAGAAGCACTGGACGGCCGTTTCGTCTTATTTTGGGATTCCTTAGTAGTGTGCATCCACGAACCCACCTCACGTTCTTCGAACCCAGGACCTATCGGTTTCGCACCAGGCGCTTAACCAACTAGACCACTAAGCCGGTCGGCATCCAACGGTGTTAATGTCTAACTTTAACTAATTGTTGTTCATTTTCAATTGTGCTCTTATACAAATCAAACTCAGAAACTTAAGAATTAACAGTGAATATTTTAATATACAGATGACTATAAACTGAATATTCGATGGTTGATATTCTTAACTTTTCTCATGGGATTGATTATATGATTGAAAGTCAATACTATTTTTTTATATGGAGGTTTCGTCCTACTTCACTTTTAATGGACTCATCAACGGTATATACCAACAAGGTGACATTTGACTGGACACAAAACCTGTATATATAGTATTACTGGTAGAAAGTCATAGGGACCATGCTATAGTAAGGGATGATATCTCGTAATTCCCCAGGTATATTACTTTTTCACCAATATGAATCAACTTCTTCAAAAGACAAGTCACTTTTTATTTTTATCTGGAAATGATATATTTAGCTCGTACAAACCTATACACACACACACACATACCGGCATATTAACCTATGTTGATATGATACAGATAAAATGAAATCTATATTGTCCTTCTTTCATTTTTCAATCTGTTTAAAAGCCATTGTGATACTACTACTGTTACTATTTTGATAGTAGTAATGATTCTACATTTAATTGAAAAAAAAATCCATTTTTATTTATTTATTTATTAAAACTAATATAGACGGAATGAACATTAAAGGTTTAATGATTAAACTATCATCATTAAATGAAGATAGATGTATTGTATGTATCTCTCATTCATGTTAGGGGTGTCTATATACAATTGTATGCAAAATTATACCTCTATAAACATACCCATAGATATACAGATACACATACATACAGATAATCGCTGATCAAATAAATGAATTATGATTTATATGACTAATAATTGTCTATTATTAATGCTTCTTATATCTCTTTGCTGTGAGTAACAAAAGACGAGTAATAATAATGGTAATAATCATATGAATTGACTTTCATAGATGGGTTAATATCTCTTTTTTGTTGTTGTTGTTGTTGTTATTGTCTATTTATTTACTTCTGTTTGTCTTCTTTCATTCATGACTCACTCTAATTTCTCTTTATTTTTGTCATTTGACAATATATAAATCATTATCGATAGTAAGGATAAGTAAAAGAGAGAGAGAGAGAGGGAGGGAGGTGAGAATTAATCAATAAGTCGTCATAGATTTTTCAGAGGAAGCATTTTTATTTTTAGTATGAAAATGGGAAGCAACAGAGATAGATAGATAGATAGAGAGAGAGACGGAGTAAGTGAGTAATTGATCGACAAGTAATTTCATATATAACGTAGCTTTTGTGTTAGTAATTCAATATTGACAAAGTGTATCTTTAGTTTCAAAGTAATTTCATCGTAACTCATGGTTAATTAAAAATGCTTTAGATAGTTCAGAATTAGTCACAATGACATAGATACATCCATTCTTTGACTTCTTTACTGCTTTGGTATTTGTCTTGATAAATTCTTCTAAGTGTCCTCCTATGATGTGGTGAATTGAATCAATGCACTTATGTGTCAAGTTCTTACATTGTAGATGACCAACTGACTAATTAACTTGTTACGTCAGTACTCAAGCATAGGTTATGTATTGTTCCAGACTGATGATTAGTCTACAATAATAGGAGTATACATCAATCTATTAGTCATCAATAAAAATTTATTTGAGATCTAGCGAAACGTATTTATTTTCACTAGAAACCTACATTTGTTATTAATGGCTCCTACAGTACTTTTTTCTTTATTATTTCATCATAACTTTAATCTATTTTCTGTTTTTTTTTCTGGAAATAATTGTTTCCTTTAGGCTTTCACCCATCGTCTCTTCGTCCTGAAGAGTTCTATGCGGCAGCTGCAGCCGCTGCAGTTGGAAATAACGCGTCAGCTGGTGATCTAGACGGTCATTTAAATTCTGGACGTCCCAATCTTCCTGGTGGGGGAGGATATATGTCAAATTATTTAGGCGGTGGTAGTCTACCAGACTCTGATTTCTCAAATCCAAATAACTATCAGCGTGGTGGTGGTGGGTTATTCCCTAATTCTGGAAATGGTGTTGGGGGTGGAGGTGCCTATCCACCAATATTAGGTGGTCATCTTCCCTATGGTCCTTATTCTACTCCTTCACCAACTCCACCGTCGAACACTCCTAATCATATGTCTGGAAGACATTCTAATCAATTCCCTGGACAGTTTGGTTTGTTTCAAAATTCCCATAATAGTAACAACATTTCGGACAATAATAATAATTATAATTATACAGCGAATGAGTCGAAAATGCGTACAGCTGCTGATGTGGATAGTATGCAAAAGGCAACTTTAGCTGTTGCTCAGTACGCGGCAGCACTCGCCTTACAACAACAACAACAACAAAGTTTGAAACGTAATTATCCAGCAACTAATACAACTACTGCCACTACTACTAACAATAATCATAATCCTAATTTAAGTAATAATTCTACATTGTCTCTATCCACTACAGGTTATAATTCACCTAATTATAGAGGAATGAGTAACGGTCATTCTATGTCATCTGGTCATCCGACACCATTATCTCCAACACACAATGATAATTCGATTTTTAATGGACCTAATAATGTGATGAATAACATTCCATCTGCACATTTACAACATTCAATAAATAATCCTACTGCTGGTTCACCGACATCATCATCATCCTCACCATCATCATTCCCAGTGTTGAATAGACATACAAATTTAAATTTATCAAATTATAATCATCATACAAATCATGTAACTGGTCATCATCATCACTCACATCATCATCATAATAGTGGTGGGTTCTTACCTTCCGTTGGTGGACAAGACACAATACCCCAACCATCATTACAAGATATCCATGCAGGTTAACATTATATATATATATATATATGCACTGCAAATTTGTACATTTACAAATCTATACAGAAAAGCAAATGGAAACAGATCTACTGATCAGGAAATAATTATTTGATTATGAACATATATGTATAAGAACTTTCTATAAATTTTACGCACCATCTGTTAAACCCCGGTGGATTCATGTCCTCCCCCATCTTCCCTACAATAAAACACAGTGATAGACTTCTTTTTTTCTAACTAGTTAAAATATTCATCCATCTATATATATTTACAAATAGAATAACATTCTCTTCACTTTTGTGAAATACACAAATCAATGATCTTAATCATAATATCCAATGGACAAGACATATTCATGAATATAATTTGACTATATTTACTGTTGTACAAATATATTACTGAAGTCAATTACTCTCAGTTTACTTCATTTCTTTATGCTTCAAAATGATCAAGAAATGATATTTATAACAAGTTGGTGTAACATAAGTTTTCTAGTGTCCCACTCATCTCTCTTAATCTGTTTGTTTCTAGGCAGCTTATTTTCTATCTATTCTTGATTTACTTTCCTGTTTAATTTATTCTTCAATGACAAACACTATGACTTACTAAAAAAAATGGTATTGATGTTAATTTTTTGAAAGGATTGTTTGTCTAGAAATGGAACAAAATGGAAACTCATTTATATCGTGTATATTTCTCTATATAAAATAATATCCGATGAGTATTTTCATTGTCACCACAACCACAACAGTAATAACATCCGCCCACCCACCCCCATCACTATTCTTGACCTAGTCACTTATTGATTGATAATTTGAGTTTTTCATTATACTACTAATATATTCACCTACCTACCTACCTACCTAGCCACATAACTACTTACCATCTATCTGTTTGTCTAACCAACTCACTATCTTATCATTAGCACAATCAATGTTGCGTAATTTCCTTCATTTTTGTGATTTGTTTGTATTTTTTTCTCTCTTGTTTTGTTGTTTATTCCTCTCAGTAATTCTATTTTTACAATAATGACCATAATACTAGTAATAATAATAGTAACATTAATAGTAAAAGCACTAATAGTAATAACGATATCCATTCTATTACAACAATGTTAATAGTATTTGTAATATTCAAATTGTCATTAGTTATGTAATATGTGAATGAGAGTGTTAACTTCAATGAATTAAACGGATAAATACGAATCTAGCAAGCTAATCATCAGCTTCGTAGTTCAATATTGAATCATCCATTGATTGCCTCACCTCACCATCACCATCATCATCATCATCATCATCATCGTCATCCCAACCGCTTTTGTTGACATTTTCTTTAAAAAACAGAACTGCTATATAAGTACAGCGTATGTATATGCCAAAATAATGCGTATCATTATCATTATTATTATTGTGTTCATTTCTAATTATTTGTGAAATATTTACGATACACTAATAGGTATGAATCTTTCCCTATTCTCTTTCACTTTCTTTCGGTCTCCATGATTTATATTCATACACCTGTAAACTATTACTGTCCACCTATGGAACAATAACTTTTTTGATGAAATACCAAATGATCTCTGTTATACATAAGATATTCATAGTTGTTTTTTATTCAACTTTCCAGTAAGTTCAAATATGCTCCTTAGAGAACAATTGCGTATTTTGCACTATTAACAATATATTCAGCGAATATATATATACATATACATTAATACTTTGTTGTATCATTGTTGGTAAACATTTCCTCACTACAATGATTGTTTGAAGATAATGTAACTACAAAATTATTATTATCACTGGGACTCCCATCTACTTCTCATCTAACAAATCTTTAAATTTCATCCCTCCCTCCCTTTTAAATTTTCTGTACACAGAATCAGTGTACTCATGTGCACAAAAAAACGATACTTTTTAATGTTACTACTTCTACTACTAGTAATGTGTTGTTACTGGTTCTATTGTGAATAATAATTTGGATATAAGAAAAGGAATGTTTATTGGTTGAATTTTTATTCTTTGATTGAATGATCGAAGTTTACTGTTGCCATATATACATACATATTATTTTTATGTTTTTCTCTCTTAAATCACACAAAAAAATTATGTAAAATTATCAGACATGTTACTATGATTACTATTACTATTATTACTGTTACTATGACTAATGATACACAGACATATGAGCACACACACACACACTACATACATACATATATATATGAACAACGAAAAATGTTTCTTTTGCATCCAAAAAAAATAAACTTGTGTAATAGATAATAATTTTTGTTTGTATTTCAATGTTCTTTTGTTTTTAATGTCTTATAAAGATGAAAACTATTTCTCAAAACTGAAATTAAGTTTCTAATATATTGTGAAATGTAACAACAACAACTATTATTACTACTACTTTTAATTACGTTTCGTGGATTAGTTGAAGTTAGACATTACCACCGTTGGATGCCGGCTCAGTGGTCTAGTGGTTAAGTGCTCGCGCGCGAAACCAGTAGGTCCTGGGTTCGAATCTTGCAGGGGGTGAGGTCGTGCATGCGTACTGCTGAGGAGTCCCACAATAGGACGAAACGACCGTCCAGTGCCTCGAGGTTTTCCATGGTGGTCTAACTTCAACTGACTCATGATCTTAACCGGTGAAGAATAGAATGTATTAGGTAATACTGAAATTCAAGGTTAAGGGGAGATATCTATGTCATTGTGACCGATTCTCATCTATATCATTAAATGTGTCAATCAATGATCACGGTTACGTTGTTGTACTAAATCAGGTTATCAGTGTCTAGCAACACAGTTCATTTTATATGATGAACTTCGGCTACATGTTGATATGATTGCATTGAATTTTCTTAAAAAACTAATCCTATTCCAACGAAAATTGTATGTTGAAGTAGGTGGTGATCGTAGTTAGATAATCCATCTTGAAACCGTTTAATTTGATAAAGATTCACTATTCCGTTAGTTGGTTTGTCATCTTTCTCTAGTATTTTACTATTATTCATACCGTGTGGTGAGGAATACTTTTCAAACACCCGTAATAGAAGAATTTATAACATATGGATGTTGTTGTCTATATTTATAAACCGTGTTTCACTTCGATTAAGTAATATAGAGTGGACTTTTATGCAATATACTCACCCTTTGGTTTGTAGATGAAAGTCTCGACTACTCCACAAGTGTTAAGGGTTACTAATAACTAAACAAGATTTTAAAATCTGTATCAGGTTATCGTTAGATACCAACCCACTGATGCCGAAGAGACTCTTAAGAAAAACGAAGTGGTCAACGACCTCAACTATTTGACATTTTATCATTAATGTATGCATTGATCTAGACTGATCATGGAAGAACGTTTTGCACTTTGAGAGAAGTAGGAGAGACTTTCTAAAATCCTTGGAATTTTGATAAATGTAATGATAAGATTTTGAATTTGTCATCATCTTCATCACCCAGAACTTTATTAGATGGGTATTCCAATTCGATAAATGAATCTCTTGATAAAAGGTTAATAATGTTTGAACACTCAAACACCAGTAACGGCATCTATAAAATAATTTCTGTGATAAAATTAACGGAAAACTGAGAGCCTAATATTTCCTGGTAAAAGTCACTGTAAAGAGCTCGTTCTGATGAAATTTCACCATTAGTGTTCACATAAAGAGCTTTCAATAGGTTAGCATAGATTTCTTAAAAATCTTTCAGTAATGGATATAAGAATAAACAGATTATTAATATTTTATGATAAGTAAAATTCGATATAATTTTCGTATAAACCACCAAAATCAATACCTCTGTAATTCTTCGATATTTGATGTTGACCATATTAGTTTTAATGGACTCACCCAGCTGAAGGCGAATCCGCATCAGATTACAAGTGGGAAGGTCGTGCTCAAATTCTCCTGCAACCACTAGCCAATTTAGATCAGTCACTTTTTAATATGTTGATAAACTATCAAATATATCTTCAAACCTCCTCACTTCTGACTTTTGATTTCACTAGGTGGGTAGGATTCAGATTACAAGGTGTTACTGGTTAAAGTGTTGTCAAACTAAAAATACCTGTGATATCTTCACATTTGTCATGGGCTAGTGATAAGATCTCAACTTTTGGTATCATACAGTTGATCATATATTGATCTCAATGTTTTCTAGTGTTTTTCATCATCTATCCAGTTTAAACCTTATAATGTTGAAACAAGGAATCAGTTTATTCGGAACTTCAATAGTTGAGATCATGAGTCAATGTGAAATTAGATCACCATGGAAAACCTGGAAGCACTGGACGATCGTTTCATCCTATTGTGAGACTCCTCAGCAGTGTGCATCCATGACCCCGCCTCGCGGAATTCGAACCCAATGACTAAAAATCTCCACAAAACACCTTCTTATACAGAACTATTCATTGAAATCTTAACAAATATTCATATAAAGTATTTCATTTGTTTATCAGTTAAATGAATTCAAGTACCACAATTCAATAGCGTCATAATAAAAAATCAACTTATAAATGATGATTACCTTCATGAGTGCTTTCATCTGTATAATTTCTAGATTGACTTATATATACATATATATTTTTCGTTATCACCTGTTTTAGAACACATTTGAATTATTGATATTTATATGATAGCCAAATGTAAGTGATAAACTTTACGCACTTCACCACTACTACTACTACTACCCATCTTGCCCTTACACGTACACAAATCAGTAGACAATTCAATCATTATTAAAACTAGACTCATATCCATTAAGTGTTTTGACCTGACAAAAATGTAACAGTCAGTAAGTCTTAACCTTTATTGAAACGAGAAACAAAAGTTGAATACATTATATATATTATTGTATTGATATAGTCTATCTCGAAAAGAGTTATAATGTTTACTTCATCTTTGCTATTTCAGTTTACTACTACTAATACCCTCTCTCTCTACCTCCCTCCCCACCCCCCGTCTCTCTCTCTCTCTTGGATTTAAAAGCTAATTTGAATTAATGTTTAAAAGTCATTTCCCATTATTCCATTTTTAGACAACACTGGCATTTATGAACAAGTATGTACATTAATGTTATATACGTAGAATATATATGGAATAAAAAAGTATATTAAAAAATGATATATTCCATTTCATTTTCCCTTTATTCTTTCTAATCATTGTATTCCCGTTTCCAACACACAAACATACATACATACACATGCACACACACACACATACTACCCTCACTTTGTCGCTTTTCTATTTTTATTCTAAAATATGTTTTACAAATTTCATTTAGAAAAATTCTATCCTCGTCATCATAATGTGTGCGTGTGTGTGTGTGTGTTTGTGCGTCTATGTGTGCGCACGTTCAGATATTCTTCTCTATGGGAATTATAATTAGTAATCATAAAATTGAACTGGAGAAACCCATTAATATCATCTATACAACTGATAGATATAAATATGCTTTCTGAGTGAGTGTTCTTTTTTTTTTTTAATATATACATGTGAATAAAATTCACTGTAATGGATATAAACATGAGTGAACAATCATCTGAATGTAGGGGGGTTAGTGGGTGCGTGATTGGGATAGAGGAGAGTAAACGAGTAAAAAGTGGGAAAGTGAGAGAGAGAGAGAGAGAGAGAGGAGGGATGGTAAGGGGAAAATATGTATGAACACCTGGATATAAGTAAAAAAATTAACAATACGAATATAGTATATCAATCTAAGTCTATATATATTCGTAATTATTATTCTATTATTTTCTAGTTGTTTCATTTACAAAATTGAATTTTATTTTATTCTTTAATGAACTACTTTTATTCACTATTGTACAGTACAAAAATAGGGATATATACCACTTGTCGTATTCATACATACATACATACATACACACACACACAAAGCTTTTCATTTATTTACGTGAAATATAAAGTTTCTATTATATTAAATTGATGAAGAAACTAATGAATAACTCTATATATATTTACGTGATCTAGTTCAATATTTTGATAGTTTTCATTCATGTATCTTTTTGCATGAATCTGACTTGGAAAAAGATCGCGTAATGTTTCTGTCATTTCATCTTATTTCTTTTGTTTGTCAATCTATCAGATGGTATAGTTTTCGTCTCTTTGATCCAATTACGTACTCATGCATTATTAGTCTCATGGTTCAACTGGATAGCCTATCGTGTTAATACCTTAAACTAGATTGTGACAAATTCTGTCTTGTATGTCTGTGAGGAGATGGATCTGGAAGTAACAAATAAGTGTCACATTATTTATACAATTACTTCCGTTGATAAATTTGATTAGAACAGTAACAACATATGTTGCTTACTTACACCTGTCACTCCTCGTGGAGAAGCATAGGCCGCCCACCAGCACTCTCCATCAAACTCTGTCCTCTCCAATACTTTCGGGCTCTTTCCAGTTGTTATTCATCCTTTTCATATCTGATTCTAATGTGTTATTTGACCTTTCTCTTTCCTATTTCCATTCAGGATTCCAAGTTAGGGCTTTCCTCGTGATGCAGTTTGATGATTTGCGTAATGTATGTCTTATCCATCGTCCTTTCCATCATTTTTTCGTAACTTCCTCGTCAGCTGGAAATTGGTTTGTTCTCTCCTACAGAAGACTATTACTGATCATATGTGGCCAATGGATGTTGCGTATCTTGTGTGGACAACTATTTACAAATACTTGTACCTTCTTGATGATTGTTGTAGTAGTGCTGGTAGTTTCATTTCCGTACAGTAGAACTAAGTGTGTTGACGTTCGTATTGGAGACTGTGACTTTGATATTTGTTGGAAGTTATTTTGAGTTGCATATGTTCTTCAATTGTAGGAATGGTGTGTTTGCTTTGCCAATCCTCGCCTTCATGTCTGTATTTGATCCTCTTTGTTCATCGATGATGCTTCCCAGATACGTGAAGGATTCCACATCTTTCAGAGTCTTATTTATATGTGTATATGTACGTGTGTGTATTTTTGTGTGCGTTTACATCTGAGATCATTACAGAACAAAAAGAAAGTGGCACCGAGTAATAATTTCAAGACTCAATAAAACTTCTCTGTAACACTTATATTCATATACAGTTGTGTGGATTTCAGATAATAATAATAATAATAATAATAATAATAATAATAATAATAATAATAATAATAACAATCTGAAAGGGAATACGAAAGTAGCTTGAAGGATTTATCAATAGTCAACCAGTTAGAGGTAATCATGTATAAATACGATCTAGTTCGGTATTAATACTACTCTAATAATAGACCTCATCCCAAAATTGTAGATTGGTCATGATATGACTACCTAATCTTTATAATCTTATGTGGAAGTTACATCATTGTCTACACTGACTTGTCGAATCATGACAATCAGCAAT